CTGGGACCTCAGCTCTCCAGTAATCTGGGACAAAATCAGGAGTAAAATCAACAGTGGTTCACCAAGAATGGGAATGGGGTGGATAAAACAAATAATTCAGAGGAATGGTAATCAACGGTATATTTAGACAGTGTCCTAACTTACTCCCAAATGTTAGATGATTCTTTGGAGGTGGAAAGTGGGATAATGCTTTGCTCACAATTAAGATGGCAAGGAGACTAACAGAACTGGCCTGGCACTGTGGCTCATGCCTATAATCCTAGCACTCTCGGCAGCTGAGGCAGGTGAATCACCTGAGCTCAGGAGTTCAAGGCCAGTCTGAGCAAGAGTGAGACCCCATCTCTACCAAAAATAGAAAAATTATCTGATTGTTGTGGCAGGTGCCTATAGTCCCAGCTACACAGGAGGCTAAGGCAAGAGGATCGCTTGAGCCCAAGAGTCTGATGTTGCTGTGAGCTATGAGAATACCATGACACTCTACTCAGGGTGACAGAGTGAGACTCAAAAAAAAAAAAAAAAAAAAAAAAAAGAAATAAACAAATCACACATGGGGGTGGTGGATTTGAACCCAGCCCTGACCCTGGCCAGCTAAAACAGCAGTGGCAACTGCAACAAAAAATAGCCTGGTGGTGTAGCAGGTACCTGTAGTCCCAGCTACTTGGGAGGTGGAGGCAAGAGACTCGTTCAAGCCCAAGAGTTGGAGGTTGCTGTGAGCTGTGATACTACAGCACTCTACTGAGGGCGACAAAGTGAGATTGCCTCAAAAAAAAAAAAAAAATTACACATAGGAAGATGCAGGGTGATCTAGCTAGATACAGAGTAGGAGATGAAGACAGATGGAACACCAACTAAGGCAAGATTCTTGACATTATTTATTAAGAGCCTGGATTTGATTTGAGATACATGGATACCACTCAATACTAAGTCATCATTTGTTGAATACTTACCAGGAGCTAGGCATGGTGCCACGTGCTTTAAGTATACTGATTCAATCTCACAATAACCCTATCAGTTAGATACTATTATTCCCTTTTTATAGATGAGGAAACAGATCCAAAATATAAGGAATTTCTTGAGAGGCTGAGGTGAGATCACTTGAGACCAGGAGTTTAAAACCAGCCTGGGCAACATAGCAAGACCCTGTCTCTAAAAAAATAGAAAAGATTAGCTGGGTACAGTGGTATGTGCCTATAGTATGAACTACTTGAGAGGCTGAGGTGGATGATGTTTGAAACCAGTAGTAAGCTATGAATGTGCCTGTGAATAGCCAGTGCACTCTAGCCTGAGAGGTACAATGAGACCCTATCTCAAAAAAATAAAATTTAAGTAATTTGCCTAAGGACTCTAACCTAAGGATATTTAACTGCCTAAAGCTGGTGCTCTGCTACCACTATGTGACACTGACAAGAAGTACAGGCATGAAACCTGACCATCTGAAGAAGATCTGTGGTTCTGGATAAAAATAAACTACTAGAGCACAACTGGCAGATTTCACGCTAATGGGGGCTTGGGAAAGAAAGCCAAAGAACTTGAAGGCTATAAATCTTGGGGACTAAGGATAGGGAAGCCATTAGCAAGAACCTGAGAATAGATGGGAAAATAAAGGGCTTATTTCCATTATCAGAAGCCCCCTAAACCTTGAAGTCAAACTAAGATGTGAAGATTAGTTTGTGGATTAAGTGTATACACAGGCACCCAAAACAGAAGACAGGACAGAGGATCGGGATCTTAGAAAATGCCCACAATGAGGCTGGCGCAGTGGCTAACACCTGTAATCCTAACACTCGGGCCAAAGCAAGAGTGTTGTTGGAACCCAGTAGTTTGAGGTTGCTGTGAGCTAGGCTGATACCACTGCATTCCAGCTTGGGTGACACAGTGAGACTCTGTCTCAAAAAACAAACACACACAATGAGATCAGGGCTGAACTGAAAATAAAAACGTAGGAAAACAGCTTATAAGAGAGACAAAGAAAACCCAATAAGGGGATGGCATCCATAGCTCAGTGGTTATGGCGCTGATACACCATGGCCACATACACCAACGCTGATGGGTTCAAACCCAGCCCAGGCCAGCTGAACAACAATGACAACTGCAACAAAAATATAGCCAGGCATTGTGGTAGGCACCTGTAGTCTCAGCTACTTGGGAGGCTGAGGCAAGAGAATTGTTTAAGCCTAAGAGTTTTTTGTTTTAGGGGTTTTTTTGGAGACAGAGTTCCACTATGTTGCTCTCAGTAGAGTGCTGTGACATCATAGCTCACAGAAACCTCAAACTCTTGGGCTTAAGTGATTCTCTTGCCTCAGCCTCCCAAGTAGCTGGGACTACAGGCCCACCACAACGCCTGGCTATTTTTTGTTGCAGTTGTTTTAGCTGGCCTGGGCTGGGTTTGAACTCACCAACCTCAGCGTATGTGGCTGGCACCATAATCACTGTGCTACGGGTGCCGAGCCTAAGCCCAAGAGTTTGAAGTTGCTGTGAGCGATGATGCCACAGCCCTCTACCAAGGGCAACATAATAAGACTCAGTCTCTTTGAAAAAAAAAAAAGAAAGAAAGAAAACCTGATAAAAGGAGCAGAGCGAGCCAAAGGTATAAGAGATGCTTTGTGTTGGGGCAAGAAGAGATGGGGAGGTCACAGGCTTACCATACCTGCCCCCTCCCCAGTGTGGGCACACCTGGCTGCCCTCATGATCACAGCTTCCTTTTGTGAGCTTCTTTGCCCCATCACTCACCTTGATGGGTGTAAGGTGCTGGAAGTGACGGTGAGGGTGTGGGATCAGGCCCAGGGGACAGTCCCACTGGGAGACAGAGTAAACCCGGATCTCATTCTTCTGGTCAGTGGTCAGGAGTCGGGCTCCGTCAGGGCTGAAACAAGCTGGAAAAGTGAAAAGCCCCTGAGCTAAAGGAACCACAAGGCCTCTGGTATCCTGGGCTTCACAGGCCTTCTCTTGCACGGGTACCCTCCCTCCCACTCTTCTCCAGACAGGAGTGGAAAGGAAGATGTGAATCTGTGCTGTGAATAAAAATATTCTAGAGGTGGCGCCTGTAGCTCAGTGGGTAGGGTGCCGGCCACATACACCAAGGCTGGCAGGTTCAAACATGGCCCAGGACTGCTAGAACAATGACAGTGCAACAACAACAACAAAAAGCCAGGCATTGTGGCAGGCTCCTGTAGTCCCAGCTACTAGGGAGGCTGAGAAAAGAGAATCACTTGAGCCCAAAAGTTTGAGGTTGCTGTGAGCTGTGACGCCATGGCACTCTACCCAGGGCGACAGCTTGAGACTCTATCTAAAAAAAAAAAAAAAAAAAAATCTAGAAATTCAGCACCCAACATTGGCAGCTGGAGCAAGAAAGCTTTTAACATAGCAACTTGGCAGATGCTATCAGGGGCAAAGGTTTGATCTAGTGGCTTCTGAACTGAGGAAAAACCCCAGTAGTGGTCAGACAGGCATGGTCTGCAGCAGAGATGAGATATGGGATATCACACCTGCGTTGACAGGATGCCTGTGCGGCAGCGAGTGCAGGAAGCTGGCTTTCCCTCTAACCTGGCGCAGGTCCCAGATTTTCACTGTTTGATCTACGGAGGCTGTGGCCAGCAACCAATCACAGCATGGGTTCAGGGCCACATGGGTCACTTTCTTTTTGTGCATTCTGAGATTCCAAAGCTGCAGAGAAGAGCTCGGTTCAGGTGGGGACACAGAACCGAAGTGGGGGTAAGGGAGGAAAAGGGTTACAGACAACGCACCTCCTTGCCATCCATGTGCAGCAGGACCACGTTCCCCACATTGTCTCCTGTGACCACCATTCGGCTTCCAGCAGACACATCCAGGCTACAAAACCAGACACTGGAGGGAGAGACTGTGTTGTAAGATTCTTAGGGACAAAGATAGGTCCATTTATGTACTGTTGCAGCTCTAGTGTCTAACCCACAGTTTTAGGTATTTGATAAATATTTGTTGAATGAATGAATAATGCCTTGCCATGGATTCCCAGTGAGGAACACTCTGACTTGTTTACTATCTATACAGAGGGACTTGGATGATGGGGGCTCAGAAACTTGTCTAGTTACTGCTGGGACCAGAATCTTCAGCTAGGAGGAGTCCCTGAAACAGGCAAAGCTCAGAAATGTGAGACAAGCCCCAGGCATGCTTGTGCCCCACAGCCTTGCGTTCTGTGGAAAACTCATTTACTGCTCTTTCCCATCACTCTCCATCCTATGGGCCAAAAGAGATGACAAATCAAACAGAGATTGCCCAGCTCTGCCCCTAAGAGCTGATGGAAAGGAACTACTGCCCCCTTCAAAGCATTTATGGAAAAAAGTATATACAACCCAGAGCTCTTTAGTCCCTCAAACTACTTGAAGATGGGAGGATTGGATGGGAAATTCAGGGATGCTGATACCCAGCCAGAAGAGCTCCAATTCATAGTTTTTCTATCGAACCCTCAAATCCATGCTGTACTGCCATTTGCCATCCCTACGGACATTTTTTGGGGGTGGGGGAGGGACAGAGTCTCACTCTGTTGCTTTGGGTAGAGTGCTGTGGCGTCATCGTAGCTCACAGCAACCTCAAACTCTTGGGTTTGAACAATCCTCTTGCCTCAGCTTCCCAAGTAGCTGGGACTATAGGCACTTGATACAATGCCCAGCTAGTTTTTCTATATTTAGTAGAGACAGGTTCTCCCTCTTGCTCAGGCTGGTTTCAAACTCCTGAGCTCAAGCAATCCACCTACCTTGGCTTCTCAGAGCCACCACACCCGGCCCCCCTATGGATATCTTTAAGTGGAAAGGTTTAGAGTAACCTGTAGTTGAGTCTTTCCTAATTGCACACATACATATTTCTTATGCATGAGGCAGCCTAGGACATCTCATGCTAGTGAGACCCCCACAACTTCATTTAATTCCTCAGGGAGCATTGAGAGTCATGTCTCCAGCTAGAAAGCAAAGTGACAAGCATTTTGTTAATTTCTCCAGCCCTTGCTCCTGTGGAGTCCAGAGCACTTTTGAACAAGATTCTATCCACTTAAGCATCTTTCACCTATCCATAACACCCCAGTGAATGGAGGGAATTAAGTCTGAAGTTCTTAGTTCCTGCTCCATTCTCTAAGTGGCTTTCTTAGCCAATGCCATGTTGACTTGTCTAGTGAGTGTCTAAGTGAAGTCTAATACACTGGTAGGTATGATGAACAGAAAAGCTGAGGCTCCAGAACACCTTCTCAAGCAGCAGTGCACCTGGACCAAAGTAAGAGCAGCCAGAAGAGTTTGAAAAAGAGAAGGAAGAGTAGAAAGTGTAGAAGGTGGCTAATACCTTTCCTTTCTTCCTGGCAACATGTTTGGATAAAGGAAATGAGATCTGGACACTCTTGCCAGAACTACACTTAGAGCTTAGAAGCCCTTTCCCCTACTAGTTAAACTACTCACTTGCAGGTGTCTGAGCTGGTAAAAACTTGTAGAGTGTTGCCTTTAAAGTCTTGCAGCCTAGTTGTTCCCTCCATTGAGGAGGCGAAAAACTGGTTGGTATTGAGAGGGTTAAACTTCAGCCCCGTGATGCTCCCTCCAGCTCCAATCTAACATGAGGAAGAAAAAGCCAGTGAGTAATGATGGGTTGGGGGCCAGGAAGCCAGGAACCAGGCCTGGACACATACTGTGCTCCCAGGGAAATGCCAGTTGGCTAGCAGGTAGGGTCAGGCCAACTGAGACACCTGGACACTAGGATGCTTGCCACAGGGCCCTTTACTTTTTTCTTTAAGAGACAGAGTCTTGGGCGACACCTGTGGCTCAAAGGAGTAAGGTGCTGGCCCCATATGCCAGAGGTGGCAGGTTCAAACCCAGCCCCCAGCCAAAAAAAAAAGAGACAGTCAGTCTTAACTCGCCCTCAGTAGAGTTATGTGGCATCACAGCTCACAGCAACCTCCAACTCCTAGGTTTAGGCAATTCTCTTGCCTCAGCCTCCTGAGTAGCTTGGGACTACAGGCCCACCACAATGCCTGGCTATTTTTTGTTGCAGTTTGGCCAGCCCGGGTTTGAACCCGCCACCCTCCATATATGGGGCCGGTGCCCTACCCACTGAGCCACAGGCACCGCCCTAAGGCCCTTTACTTGTTAAGGCTTTGTTTTTACTTTTTAAAAATAAGCCTACTATAAACTTGACTGTTTGGGGTATACAGTTCTATGAATTTTAACGCATGCATAGATTTGAATAACTACCACCCAATCAGGAAGCAGACAAAAAACTCCCTCATGCTATAGCAATTCAATCACAGCCTCCCCTCATCCCCAATCCCTGGTAACCACTGATCTATTCTCCATCACTATCATTTTGCCTTTGTATGAGGACAGCTAATTAAGTTCGAGAACTCATACTAGAAAAAGTGCTATGTACCTCACTGGTGAATATCAATGTGTCTCCTTTGAAGTACTTCCCTTGGAAATCTATTCACCGATGCCAGTGCCTGGTCTACCTTTCAAAGTATGTTTTCTAGGATGAGTACATGAACTTAATTGTCATTATCTTATATGACAAAAGCTCTGGTAAGTCATTCCAGAAAATGAGTTCCAAAATTTGGTGTCAGTGTATAGTTTCCCACAGGGAATACTTCAAAGGTGACTGTAGTGATATTCAGCAATGAGGTATGCAGTACTTTTTCTAGGATGAGTCTGTGAACTTAATTGCCTGACCTCATAGAAAGTCCTATAAATGAATAATGCAACCTCTTGAGACTGTCTTCTGCCATTTCACTCAGCAGAATGCCTCTGAGATTCATCCAAGTTTTGTGTATATCAATAGCCCATACCATTTTATTCTGAAAAGCATTCCATTATGTGAATGTACCACATTTAGTTATTCCTACAATGCTCTTTTTAGAAGAGCTTCAGTTCACAGTAGGATCTGCATTAGAGGGACAAAAGTCAGATCTATGCCCCTTCTTATTTTCCAGACATCCATATGATGATAAAAGTAATCATGGTACTATCAATGGCTTAATTTTATCAAGCTGCTTATTATATACCTGACATGGTTTTCTTTTTTCTTTTTTTCTTTTTTTGCAGTTTTTGGCCGGGGCTGGGTTTGAACCCAACACCTCCGGCATATGGGGCTGGTGCCCTACTCCTTTGAGTCACAGGCACCGCTCACTGACATGGTTTTAAGAACATGACTTTCCCAAAAGTACCTTCTCCACTTCTTATGTCATAGCTATCCCAGCCTTGCAGACCTATACAAGGTCTCCTCTGCAACAACCACTTAACTAACTCAGCATACTGATGTACTCCATTCCCTCTACAAAACATGCCGACCAACTAAAAGTTGACTTTAGCATTATAAAATTCACCTGTGTAACAAAAAACACTTGTACCACCTAAATCTATCAAGTTTTTTTTATTTTTATTTTTATTTTTGAGACAGAGCCTCAAGCTATCCCCCTGGGTAGAGTGCTGTGGCATCACAGCTCACAGCAACCTCCAACTCCTGGGCTCAAGCGAGTCTCCTGCCTCTGCCTCCTAAGTAGCTGGGACTACAGGCACCCACTGCAACACCCAGCTAAGAAAAAAAAAATCTTTTTAAGAAAAGACATGCTGGTTCGGCCCCTGTGGCTCAAGCGGCTAAGGCGCCAACCAAATACACCTGAGCTGGTGAGTTCAAATCCAGCCTGGGCCCGCCAAACAACAATGATGGCTGCAACCAAAAAATAGCTGGGCATTGTGGTGGGCGCCTGTAGTCCCAGCTACTTGGGAGGCAGAGGCAGGAGACTCGCTTGAGCCCAGGAGTTGGAGGTTGCTGTAAGCTGTGATGCCATGGCACTCTACCCAGAGCGACAGCTTGAGGCTGTGTCTCAAAAAAAAAAAAAAGAAAGAAAAAAAGAAAAGACATGCTAACCAATGTCCATGGTCTGCCAAACACAGGCTACTAATAAGATAATCTGCTCCCTCCAGTTTAGTTCAATGCTTACCAAGCCAAAGGCTGATTATATTTGTTCTCAAACCTGTTTATGTCATTGTACTGTTTATTTTTAATTATATGACTTAATTAAACATGTAAAGTGATGAACTGCATGCAAAAAGGCCATTGTTATCTCTATTTATGATTAATATATTAAAAAATAGTCCTAATTTAATAATAGGCAAAAGATTTGAATACACATTTCTCCAAAGAAGATACACAAATAGCCAGTAGCACATGGAAAGATGTTCAACATTAATCACTAGGGAATGTAAACCAAAACCACAATGAGGTACTATTTTACACCCACTAGGTGGACTACCATCAAAAAGATGGACAATAACAAATGTGGACAAGGATATGGAGAAACTGAAGCCCTCCTACATTGCTGGTGGGAAAGAAAAATAGTGCAGATGCTTTGGAAAATTTTCTGGCAGTTCTTAAAAATATTAAATATAGGCTTGGTACCCGTAGCTCAGTGGTTAGGGCGCCGACCACATGCACTGGGGCTGGAGAGTTCAAACCTGGCCAGGGCCTATTAAACAACAATGACAACAATAATAAGCAGCTGGGCATTGTGGCAGGCTCCTATAGTCCCAGCTACTGGGAGGCTGAGGCAAGAGAATAGCTTAAGCCCAAGAGTTTGAGGTTGCTGTGAGCTGTGACGCTACAGCACTCTACCAAGGGTGACATAATGAAACTCTGTCTCAAAAAAAAAAAAAAAAGAAAAACTAAAAGTGAATGACTTAGGCATTTACCTCAAGAAGTTGTAAAACAGGGTGCTAAACACAAAGAAAGCAGGAGGAAGAAAGAAAAGGAGCAGAAATTAATGAAACAGAAAACAAATATACAGTAGAAAACTCAGTGAAGCCAAATGTAGGTTCCATGAAAAGTCTAATAAAATTGATAAATCCCTGGTGAGACTAACTAAACCAACAAGAAGGCAATTTAGGCTCGGTGCCTGTGGCTCAAGTGACAAAGGCGCCAGCCACATACACCTAAGGTGGTGGGTTCGAATCCAGCCCTGGCCTGCCAAACAACAATGATGGCTGCAACCAAAAAATGGCCAGGCATTGTGGCAGCGCCTGTGGTCCCAGCTACTTGGGAGGTGGAGGCAGGAGACTCGCTTGAGCCCAGGAGTTGGAGGTTGCTGTGAGATGTGATGCCACAGCACTCTACCCAAGGGGACAGCTTGAGGTTCTGTCTCAAAAAAAAAAAAAGGTGGCAATTTAATGGATGGAACAAAAAGAAATCACTATACAAAATACATTATCATTCACAATAATAAAAGATACCAGGAACAACTTTTTGTCAAAAAATCTGAAAATTTAGATGAAATGAGCAAATCACTAAAAACATACAAACTCACCAAACTGATAGAAGATCAAAGAAAATATAAACAGTTCAATAGCTATGAAAGAAATTGAATCCACTAGAAACCTTCCAGTAAGGGAAATTCCAGATCCTATAGCTTCACATCAATCTTCTTTTTTTTTTTTTTTTTTTTTTTTTTTTTTTTTTTTTTTTTTGAGACAGAGCCTCAAGCTGTCCCCCTGGGCAGAGTGCCGTGGCATTACAGCTCACAGCAACCTCCAACTCCTGGGCTCAAGCGAGTCTCCTGCCTCCGCCTCCCAAGTAGCTGGGACCACAGGCGCCCGCCACAACGCCCGGCTATTTTTTGGTTGCAGCTGTCATTGTTGTTTGGCGGGTCCGGGCTGGGGATTCGAACCCGCCACCTTAGGTGTACATGGCTGGCGCCTTAGCCGGTTGAGCTATGGGCGCCGAGCCTTATTTTACTTTCAAGCTACTACCATATATATCTTAAATTTATAGAGAAGTTATATAAAGAGGGTGGTGCCTGTGGCTCAGTGGGTAGGGTGCCAGCCCCATATACAGAGGGTGGTGGGTTCAAACCTGGCCCGGCCAAACTGCAACAAAAAAATAGCCAGGCATTCTGGCGGGCACCTGTAGTCCCAGCCACTCGGGAGGCTGAGGCAAGAGAATCACCTAAGCCCAGGAGTTGGAGGTTGCTGTGAGCTGTGACGCCATAGCACTCTACCGAGGGTGATACAGTGAGACTCTGTCTCTTAAAAAAAAAGAAAAAAAAAAAAAGAAAGTTGTAAAAAGAGCACAAAAATACCAGTTAATCCTTACACCACTTTCCTTTCTCACCACTTTCCTGTCACTTCTAATAATCCAGAATCATTCACTGCTTTTAGCTGTAATGTCTTTTTAGTCTTCTTCAATGTGGGACCAGTATCTCTTTGACTCTTGTGCCCTTACCTATACTTTTGGAAAGTATAGACCAGTAATTTTGTAGAATGTCCCTCAAGTGGGACTGTCTGAAGTTCTATCGTAATTAGGCTGAGAATGGGTCTTTGGCGGATATATTTTGTGATGCTGTATTTTTCTCACTGTACCCTATCAGGTAGCACATGATTTTGATTTGTCTCAATACTGGTGGTTGCCTTTGGTTATTTGATTAAGGTGGTAATCTGAAAGGTTTCACCAATGTAAAGTTATTCTTTTTTCCCCCTGGAGAACCATTTTGAAATCATGTAAATATGCAGTATCCCATTTATCACCAAACTGCTAGATGATTAATTTATTGGCATCAGTATAGACTCA